ATTCTAGCCTAAGAGAAGTACTAAGCAAGCAAACCTTCTCTCGCTCAAGCAATAATTCAGATCAACCTATCAATCTTCTGAACCATATAGGGACCTAGTTAGCTAAGCACCAATCAAGAATATGGACTTAAGCACACAATTGCGTAACAATGCTAAGAAATGAAGAGGAATCAAACAAATGCAAGATCTTTCAATGCATACTATCTAACCATCAAGCAAAAATCTCAAAACCAACATTATCTAGCCCTAAGCGAATCATCTACCAAGGTGAACTATCACTTTGGTGTCACTGAACAAAGGAAACATAGACCAAGCTAAACTATCAAGCCAAATAAGTGAACCATGCATAGAGATGAGATATCAAAACATCAAGTGAACCATATGCATCAATCAAAACCATATTCAATCAAAAGGAGCAAGCTTTATGAACAATAACCACTTTGCAAGAGAAGGAGATAACAGAGAACAAACTAATCAAGCCGAATCACACTTTAATCACATTTTAATTACCACTTTCTCTACTTAGAATCCTAAATTTAAGATAAACTACTCACTAATCATGTTTAATCTCATATACACAGTTTCAACATCAGGTATTATGTTTAGAAAGTTAATTTGTAGATGTCAGATTTCCTTTTTTTTTTAATTTGAAGATTCATAAACAAACTAATATTATGTTTTTTCTTGTGATTTAAATATCTTGGAGTTTTAATCTCACATCAAAAAAATTTAAATTTAAGATCGATTTTTACATATCCGCACAATGCGCAAGCGACCACCTAGTTACATACTGTTTTCGGATGGAGAATATTTTCTTTAATGTACCGAGTACTTGTGTTAGTTTTTGTAAGAGGTTTAAATGAACTTATCATCTTTGATTCATTATATACATGTTTCAATTGGTTTCTTTCAAGTTTTGATTTGACATACCTGCGTCTTTAATTTTTCGATAACCATAAGCCTGATCATCGATCTATGATCCGATATTATGAATGTACTCTCCGGTTAATAAACTCCTCAGGATCGTCACCATATGATTATTTTTCTGTGCTTCGAATCCTATCCCTTCATGCACCTAGAGTCATGGAGAAATTATGAATGTACTCTCCGGATAATAAACTCATCATGGTCGTACCATATGATTATTTTTGTGTGCTTGGGATCGACATCTTTATGTTAGGGTTGCCGCCGCCATACAACATGACTCTCTATGTTGAATCTACATCATTGATATCTCTTCTTTATAATTTCTTTGGAAAATCTGAGATAATCTAGGGTGCTTTGCTGTGAACCTGATCTTCATCATCAATCTCTCTATTTTAATGGAGCAAGTCGTTTTGGTTTATGGCAAATGGATGGTTGAGAAGAATCGTTGGATCTTCCTTGTCGAGAAATCAAAGGGTGCATCATGAAACCTCGTTTGGGTATTTGGTTGGAATGATGTTCGAGGATATTAGTTTAGATAATCTATTTTATACTTTGTCCAAGCAATTGTTGCAGAGACTGCCACAAGATACCTCCCATATTTGTAGAAAATGATAGACAGGTGAGTGGGTTTTTTCATACAGTTGAAGCAAGATCCAGTCCGGTTATGCATTGAGATTAAAGAGAAATCTGAGAAAGATTTCATCCCATCAGAAGCAGGAACTCTGGATGTTGTCAATCAAGATAATGAACACATGAAAGATGCAGAAGACGAAGAACACAAGGCAGATAAAGAAGAAGATGCAGACAAGGAGGACGATGCAGGTGAAAAGGAAGAAGTAGGTGAAGAAAGATGAAAAAGATAATGCAGTTAAAGACGATGAGGATGATGAAAACGAAGATAGTGAATTGTTAGAAGATGACTCAGATGATGATTTGAATTCTAGGTATGATGGGTGCATTGATCCAGATGGTGTTTCTTTAGATGACGAAGAGGAATAAAAGAAAAGTCTCTAATTGTGAAAGTTTGGATGAAGAAGAAGAAGCAGAAAATCTACCACCATAAAGGATAAATCTACCAGTTCCAGAAATTGTAAACATGTAACTAACTTCAATAGACTTAGCAGTTGGCCAACATTATCAAACTAAAGATGAGCTGTTTGGGCGACTGGAAATTCTTAGTGTCGCTCAAAATTCGACTTCGATGTGGGTTACTCAAATCCCAAGTTACTGACGGTGAAGTGTTGGGTTCCCGGATGTACATGGAGTGTCAGAGCTTCAACCGTAGGTGATAGTCCCTTTTTCTACATTAAGACATACGTTTGGATGCACACATGTTCTGTAACAGTCTGATCATTCCGTACCTGTATTACAACTTATGAGGTTCTAAGTCGCCTTTATGAAAACTTTGTAGGCGGTGTTGGACCGACGGTGTTGCCAAGTCATCACTCTGATGTTCTGACTAAATGATTTGGAATTAAGGTATATTTATTGTTATATAACTAGATTTTTTCATAATGGTATATTTGTTGCCTTTGAAGGTAGATTTGTTATCGTATCGGTAGTAGATACGTTTGCACTATGGTACATTTGTTATCGTATAGGTGGTAGATTTTTTTGAATTGGTAGAAATGGGTATGTTGGCTTCACTATAACCCATGACAGGCGGACTACTGGAAAGCACATCATGCTTTACGGTATGCAAGAGAATTAGTAAGCAGAACTTCTGAGAGTGGGTACGAACTACTTCCCAAGTACCTATACATGATTAGGCGAGCTAATCCAGGGACACTTATAAAACTTGAAGTCGATGAGGATGATTGATTCAAGTTTTTGTTCCTCGCTTTTGGGGCAAGCATACAAGGTTTCCCATACATGGGGAAAGTTGTCGTAGATAGGACGTTCTTGCATGGAAAATACAAAGGTACATTACTCATCGCAATTACCCAAGATGAAATTTTAATATATTTCCTATGGCATTCGATATCATTGATACGGAGAATGACATGTCTTGGGAGTGGTTTTTTAGATAGCTACACCGTGTCATCCCAGATGATAGGGAAGGTTTACCCTATAGCAAAGCGGGATATTTGCAAATATGATCTGTATAAGAACATTTTGTTGAAATTCAAAGGGCGAAACATTTTTGAGCTTGTAAAGAAGGCTGCTACAACATATACACAAGCAGAGTTCAATGCATACTATTCACAGATTCAGGCTACACATCCGCAACTGTTCAGTTATTTGGAAAAAGCTGATGTCTATAACTTCACAACTAGCAACATATCAGAATCACTTAATAAGGTTTTGATTAGTGGAAGATTAAGCATATTGTTGAACTTTTGGAAGATATTAGGATACTTTTGACAAGGTGGTTTGCTAAGCATTTGGGAGTCCAAGAGATTGATGCTCATCGTACGCAAGTGATGTCTGGGACCATATTGCACGTAGGTAACCTCATGCTGAAAACATGTACTTGCCAAAGGTTTGATTTAGATAAAATCCCTTATATCCATGCCATTGGAGCAGTTGAGGGGTCAAATCAGACTCAGAAAGGCCCTAATCTACCAACACCCATCTCCCTTTTGTCATCCGTAATACCATATGAACTACTTGTGTAATGCATATTCAAGTTGTATAATGCCACGAGATATTGCCTTACCTTTGCATGATGAAGTCGCTATAAAAATTTGTCTTCCACCTATGGTGCGCAGCCCTCCTGGAAGGCCAAAGAAAATGTGTTTTAAGGGTGCTCTCGAAAAGGCCATGACAAAGAAACTTCCTAGAAATAAGCATAAATATTCCATGTGTAAGCAAGCTATCATAATCGGGCTACTTGCCCGAATTAATTATTACGAGTTCTTTGTTTTAATTTTACATATACTAATAAATGTGAGATTAGCATTTTAGATTAGGTAAGCAATTCGTGTGTGATTATTTTCCCTAAAATAAGTCTGCTGCAACACCGAATTTATATCTACTAATAAACCATACAAGTTCTGACTAAGTCTACTAGTAATATAAATTATAAATCTACCAGCGTTATATAAGTTTGCTATAATGCGATATATAAATCTAACACTATAACAGCTTTAGGAACTGGCAAATATATATCTACTACTGATTCACACGTGGCGCATAAAGGTATCTAATCCCTAAAATAACGGTTTAGTACAAGTTTTACAAAAACTGCAGCCATAACTCATGAAAAACATACAAGTCTCCAAACTCCCAAAAAAAACAGTAACATCATCATTTCGCTAATCCCGTCTGTAGTAGAGCCATATCATCCCATTCACCATGTGGGTTAGGATCAGATCGTTGGAAGTTGTACTCCTTGTATGCTTTGTCCAACATCTCTGCAGCAAGTTTCAAGCGAATCCCCAGAATATTTCTATCACTCAGAGGCTCCCAACAATGGCCTAGAGCTAAGCACTCCACATACTTTAATGTATACACCCCCACAGTCGCCGGTTTGTCTATTATGTTGAGCTAATTTTAACATGTATTTGTTAAAGCATTGGTCACTCATTGTCGCCCTATTCTCAGGTGGTGCTATTTGCTACAACAACAGAAATCAGCATCGCAAAAGGCTTAATTGAGTCTTTAATGAAATTGTCACTATATAACCAAATGATGCTATCAAAAATCCTAATCTTTGTCTTAGCAAAATCCACCTCTAGAGCTACTCAATGCCTGTTATCAATGTTGTGGGTGATGTATAAGTAGTCAACATCGCTCACCCATTTCCTTGGCGGACAAGGGAAATCAGAAAATATGTCATTTGCCATGTTTAAATATCCCTTGAGAAGATCCAATTGTTCTCATCACGTAGATACTTTGTCTCAAAATCTCTGCACCATATATATCCGAAGAATGGGTCGAGGAATGCAACTTTGTCGTTCCGAAAATGAAATAGAACTAGGAAGGACCGACGCCGAAACATATCAAATCCTGATGCCATTTGCTAAAATACATGATAAGCTGTTAGTATCATCTGATATATACAAGTATAAACTAAGTCTACTGCCACTTCTAACTAAGTCTACTGCCAATATAACTTATAAATCTATTAGTGTTAAATAAGTACCATTTTAACCGACCCAAAATAAATATACCACAAAACTACTTGCCCCCAATTCTTTTGCACCCTAAATCTAAAGTGTTAACTAAGTCTACTGTCACTTCCAACTAAGTCTATTACTAACCGAACATTTAAATCTACCAGCCTTAAATAAGTCTGCTGCAATGAGAAATCTTAGTCTACCATGTCTACCGACTAAAAACAAATCTACCACCCATATAACATAACCCCGATACCTTGCCACTCAACCACTTGTATTCGTTAGTCGGCCACATTTCTTTGAGGGTCATCAGCGTAACATATAATTCAGCTCCAACATACATCATCTCCAATGGGTTGTCCCTATAAAAAGGAATAGCAAATTTAGATGTTTAGGATTGTTTTAGTTTATTGTTAGTAAAAATAGATAGAACTTACAAGTCTTGTTTAATGTAGTCGAGTAATACATCCAATTTGTGTCGGTCCACATCCTCAAATGGATTGTATGTGGCCTTGGAAGGAGTAACATTACCCATAATTCTCCGCACCACAGACCTCCCCTTGAATGGTGAGATTTGAGTGGCAGCAAAGGTGTGCTTCCTAGGCTTTAGGATGGTTTGTTGGTCAATCTTGGTAGTGCGTCATCATTCTCGTCGATCAGTTCTGGTATCTTTATTTTTTCTTTCTCTCCTGAACCCGGTGTAACGAATTTTTCTTCCTTGGTTTTCATTCTCGCATTCGATTTTGAATCCTCAACTGTTGTTGAACGCAGTTCTGTTTTGACTTTATGGCCAATATATCCATTCATATTCAGCTTTATAACCACCTTTGCTGATGGAAACTCTGGATCTGAGGCTTCCTGCATCTCAAATGTCCACGACTGTGGTCGAGCAACACATAATTAGAACTCTTAGAATAACTTCAAGAGATTTTTTTTATTTTTACACAATAAGATTGCTTTCAAACATAAACAAATAAAATAAAAACTGAGGGCAACATCAAACTACAAATCTACCGTCATATAAGAGTTTTGAAAAATTACAATTTGCTAGGTTTCATCATACATGAAAGACAAAAACCACCACACATATCTTTAGATAATCCAAGAAACTTACATAAATTATTTTTACTAAAATAGAGACTTGCGTACCTGATCATTTCCATTGGGTGGGAGATTTGCATTAAATTCAGCATCTTGGTTTTTAGCTTCCACGACAGGGCCCTCACGTTTCCCCACTATAGAGTCAATCCTCTTGTCGATGGCTTCAACTCTGGACATCAAAAGTTGAAGCGCGTTGAAGAAGGCACTACTCTCTCCCTTCTGCTGTGAATCTCCTACAACATGTCTTGTCTTTCGAACCTTATCAGCAAATTTACCAACCGGCAAATCCATTTCACTATCGGAGAGTTCCTACAACTCACATCATCTCCTATCTCCTTTGTCCTTTTCTTCCCCTCCTTCTTCTCCTTCATCTTAGCATCAGCAAACTTATTCCTTTTCCCAACAGGAGACATACTCTTCTTGCTTTCCTTTAAACCCTCTTTCTCCTTGTCCTTCTTCTTCTCCTTCTCCTTCACCTTCTCCTTTACCTTCTTATTCTCCTTCACCTTCTCCTTATCTTTCTCCTTCCCCTTCTCCTTCTCCTTCTCCTTCTCTTTCCAATTATCCTTCTCCTTCCCGTTTTTCTTCTTTTCCTCCTTGTCCTTGTCCTTGTCCTTCTCTTTCTCCATTGAATCATTTCCAACTATATCATCCCACACTATCTCATCTAACCGTCCATCAAGAATATCAGTTAACATATTGTGAAGCTTCAGAGCCACCTCTGGCGTTGACTCCTCGTCTGGCCAAAATAGATATATGTCCTCTCGAGGAACCTCCATTAGATGCCTCACCCTAACCTGCAGATAGAGATAGAGACAAGCCACTTCAATATAATATATACCAAATATATATATATATATATATATAACTAATACTAAAAAGTCTACTACGTAAATAGATCTATTATATTTCATACTAATAAGTCTACCAAATATATTTCAGCACTATAATCAAATATCAAGCAAAATCAACTCTTCCATCAATCATAATCAAATCTACAATCAATCTAAGACTAAATCTACTAACAATCATATCTACCACCTTAACCACAATTCACATAATAGTTCTACCATAACTAAGACTATAACTCTACCAAAATACCAAATTGTAAGGAAACATACCTTCTTATCATCAGTTCTACTTCTTTCTTCCTCTAAAACTTTATCAAGAATATATCTGTCCCTACACGAACGTCACCAAAGCAGAGGACACGGTAACGTGAGCAGGTGGTTCTCAAGTTTGCCAAACTTTGCTCCCAATATTGGGACCGACTCATGGACCCATATAAGCAATGCATGCACACATCCACTTTGATGGACAAAATCATCTCCTTAAAACCGACCCGCCTCCATGGATAACTCTCAAACGTTTTTTTCATCCATAACTCTTTAGTGCAGTCCAAATGAACTCGACTATTCCAATTAATAACAAATATACCTATGTGCAGACTGAACAGCAACGCAACCATCTTCTTCTTCTCATACGACCAAGTTTTGCATCTTCCAAATACCTCAACACTCATGCAGATTTGGCCCTATACCTGCATTCACGCCAAGCTCTCCCCACAACTTGTTGTGATCTATATCCCACGGCTCATCCCCAGTGGGCTGACAGTTGAGTCCGGTTATCTCTGCAAACTCGTGGAGCAAAAACCAAACTGGACGCCCACCGATAAGTGTCCAAATCTCGTAACTTCGTTCAATAGCTAGTTGGTTTGTTACCATGTTATATACCGTTTTTTCTACCCAAACGTACGCTTTCTCTAGAAGACTCAATACCACTCCTACTGGGAATTGTTCCATATGTCATTGTAGACCTCCTCGCTAGCAGCCTCCTTCAACATCCCAAAAACCGTTAAATGACAATAGTTGTTCAAACTCTTTCCCTTGGGGAAACAATCGGGGAGGGTAATTCAGCTTATGTCCCACTCTTCTTGTTTGAAGACGCCATCCACTAAGTTTCAAAAGTATAAGATATTTTTCATAAACAAGTCTAGCAACAAAGAAAAAACAAGTCTACCACCACCACCACGACTGAAATCAAGTCTACAAAAACAATACCAACAGAACACTAAGAACACAAGTCAACGAGCCATTAATAAAGTCTCAACAATCACATCTGCGACGTCTACCTAGCAAAAATCCATCAAGTCTACCACCAAAAAAAATCAAGAACTAACCCATCTATCAAGTCTACCATCAAATTCCACAAAACTTTAAACAAGTCTACACCAATAAACCTTCAATAAAAACACAAGTCACCTTATTCTCACCGGATTTCGAACTCTTTTCTTCTCAATCCTTACCCGATTCCGCTGCCATATCTTCACCGCAACACTGCTAAATAAAATGAAAAGTATGATTAGACATTTACAAGTCTGTCCTCACCATATCAATTATATCATGTTTAACTTCTCTACAACGAAAAAATCTACCATAATGTTACCCGGGCCATACCCTGATAATTCAGTCAATTCGGTAAAATTAAAATCTGGTTACCTTTTTGCGGTTCACTTTTTAAACATTCACTGGAATCCGTCTTCGTCATCCTCGTCGTACTGAAAATAGAGAAGAAATCTAATGTTTCCGTCCATTCAAAACTTTACAAATCCAAAACCAGATTCCGACGTTGCCGTCAATCCACTACTCCGACAACAAAATCCTAGATCTATAAATCAAGTCGAGTCAAACATGAAATAACTTCTCAAAATTCTTTCGCCGCTAAAGAAATGATACAGTCGTCGCTAAGGAGGCGCCACCGTCGTCGTCGCTAGGTAAACACTGTTAGGGAAACCTTCCACCATCACAGCTCCGACCCTCTACAAAATCCCCCGTCGCACAAGAGAGATCTAAGGTTTCGAATCCCGTGGCGGCCAGTAGTTTTACCAATAATATTTTATATTCTAGCTCTTTTAATTACTGATTTATTTTAACTTTATTTTTATTATTGATTCTCATTTTATTCCTAAAATGACAAAATCGTTACTTAATAGATGTTTTGGTTCATATGGCCTTTTACAAATATATTACAGTTATTGTGGTTATACTCATTTTGGGGGGGGGGGGGGGGGGGGGGGGGGGGGGGGGGGGGGGGGGGGGGGGGGGGGGGGGGGGGGGGGGGGGGGGGGGGGGGGGGGGGGGGGGGGGGGGGGGGGGGGGGGGGGGGGGTGGGGGGGGGGGGGGGGGGGGGAGTTATTCTAATAAATACTCTATTTATTAAGGTTAGATTAGGTAATTGTCTCTTTAAATTTTATTATTTTGTTATTATATTTTTAGTATAGGTTTGTTATTAAATATCAGTTACTAATTTGTGATTACCGTGTAGTATATATATAATAACAATAACTATAAAAAATATATTGATTTATTATTGTATTTGTGAAAAGTATTGTACTATTTTTTCGATGATAAAGATATATAATTTTATATTATAACTAATCTGAAATATATTTGTAGTAAAATTTATGATTGGAAATATAAAGTATTAAATATTTTTTTGACTTTTGTAGATTATGAAGACATATATCACAATTAACATATTGTTCTTATCTACTTTGTATTTGTGTTCTCTATAAATTTCTAATTACAAAATCAACATCTAATTTTTTTGATGTATTTGGGCTGAAATATTCAATTTTAAAAAGACTCTGAAGCATTATGTGTTATTTGATTGAGGTGATATTATTTGATCGATGGTAAAAGGAATGTTGTAGTGTATATTCTATTTTTTATTGAGTGAATGTGTTATTTTGAGACAAAGTTCCGAGGTTCCATGTCAGCAAGGAAACCTACTCAATACAAACCTTATCAAATCTGTCTTGATAAGTGCCAGGTGGGACATTGGAGACATTCTAAGCCATCGCATAAGTAGGGTGAGGGGCATGTAAACAACTTCTTAAGATGCAGTACTACTCGGTAGAAC